TTGAATTTTAACGTTTTTTTACATATCACAAGGATTTAAAATTTTGTAGGTGAGTGCGTCTTAGTGAGATGCACATGAATAAAATATAAAACAAATAATTAGCATGGTAAAAATTACAAAAATACCTTTATAAAGTTTTAGGAGTAATTTTATCATTTTATTTTATGACTATTATTGTTTTAATATTTTATTTTGGTGTAACTTGGTCATATGTATACACGTCCCAAATTTAGATAAATTTGATTAGTATAATAATTGTAAAAATTCAAATGCTATCAGGTAATTGTGATTGTGCGATGAATTTTGGACGGTGATGACGTGTAAGTGAAGTATTGTAGAATTTCACCCATAAGCGTTTTGTAGATGATTCCTCTCTCTCTCTCTCTTTATATATATATATATATATATATTTATATATATATATATATAACCTATAGGTAGGTTTTTAAAGAGTGAATATTATAAGATTTGCCAGATCAAGATTTTAAAAGATTTAAAAAATTAAATCACTCAAAATAGACATGTTATGAGAGAGTGAATATCACAATATTTATTATGGAAAATTTTTGAGCCTCCACCTGATATTGGGCGGGCACTGGGATCTACACTGTTCATGCAATTGGATGGTGTAAAAAACACCCTATTATCGAGGGAGGGAAACCGGGAACCCTACCCCCGGTCTCCCAAAATAATTGTGCAAGTGACATATTTCTGATTTTTCCTTGTCGGTTTCTCTCTCTCGTCACCTTTCCACCAAGCATGGGAATGTGTTTTTTGGTTTGGAGGATTTCAAAGGCTTGTTTCCCTTTTCCTCCTTTGTTTTTTTTAAATTTCCTCCGTTTTTTTAAATAAATTGTTTGTATGTGTTTATTGAGGCATTTTCGCAAGCAATGGATTAGGGCTTACCACTATAATCTGCGGGCCATATTTAGCTTAGATTTTGATGTAACCATGGTTTGGGTGGATGATATATATAGGGAACAGTTTATATAGAGTGGAGGCTCTAAAGAATTACATTTGAGCCTATTTCAAAAATTTCACTAGAAAAGGTAGTTTTGATATTCAAACATCCTTACATTGATCATCTCGACATCAAAATGCATGGACATGAGAAAAAAATAGATTTCAACTTTCGAAATAGTGTATTTTGTAACAGATTTTTTAGCCGTCAATTTTCAAGATTTTCAAGTTTTTATAGATCTCTCGATGTATACTATTTTTTAAGTTTTAAAATTTATAAATAAAGATGGAAATATATTTTAAGGCTATCAAAAAGATATCCAATATTGAAATCACATTTCTCGACACCATTTAAAGGTAGGTTTTAATTTGATTGTTAAAGCCCATGCTCTATTCAAACCGTACCATATATATATATATATAT